TGTTGCGGTAAAACCATTTCTCACCGCCAACAAACTCGTAGTAATCGTCTCGGGATACTGCCGTTCCATTATCAACAGAGGTGTTTCGAGTCAGCTCATCACCAATAACCTTGAAATAAGTGTCTTAGTATGCCTTGAATACAAAAGATACAAAGATCTGACACATAGCGCTAGTCATTTAAAAAATATTGAGCTTATTGTACCGTGACTGTTGAAGGCGACGAATTTAGAACGTATCCAGTCGTTCCAGTAACAAACTCTAAATCAGATGCAACATTGTCTAGAAAAGCGCCCTTTCCTACCTTATAGCCAACTTCACCGCAGTCTCCGTAACGCAACACGTGTGAAATAGCCACCCCAGAACTTAAAGAATTGACAGAATTTTTCAGAATTTAAACTAAACTGATTATTTTTGTAAAAAATGTTTTACCATAATTAGAAGAGCCATTGGACTTTGGCTCTTTTTAGCAAACTTTTGAATGCCGCTTTGAATTCTTTATTTATTTAGTTTTATAAAATAACAAACATTTCTTACATTTCCCGAAAAGCTACAATATCTCCATAGTAACTCTGGTTAATGTGCTGAGGCATTTGAGAACCATTTGCTGTAAGGTGTAAAACTCCTGTCATGTTTGACGCTCCTTCAACGTTTACTTCAAATTTACCCTTCGAAAAATTTGCAGGCGTAAAAGAAAAATATGTAGCTGTGTCTAACGTAGTTACGTAAGTGCCGAGTAGAACGTCTAAAAATAACAGAAATAAGAATTTTTCAAACATTTTAGAAGCGTCAATTTTTTTTCATAATCAGCTGTTTTCTGATAAAAATTAATCTTGAGATAAAAGGTACAACTGTTTACAGTCTGGCGTGCACAGTACGATGGTCCTTAGGTGTATATCACTTACGATGGAAAAAAATTGAGCTGGGTACGAAGCACCCAAAATCAGTACGATTATCATTGTTGAATATTGGTAACTGGCTCACTGCTGCTATTATTGTAAATGGCTGGTCGCTTGTAGCACTTACTGTCAAGACTTTTGAGTCTGTTGAAAACGCAGAAATATCGGCTGTTAGAGCCCCCTAAAATGTTTGATAGAAAAAATCTTGTAATTTTCTTCTTTTAAATGTAAAAAAGAGAAGTTGAGAAGCAGCAGCTGTGCCTTTCAGTGATACTCCTTTTCTTTGAACCTTTTCTTTTAACAATGTGGAGTAAAAAGCTCGTGGAAACTGCTGTTTTTACAAGGCGGAGTATCTAAGTGCATCAGTTCAAAATAAAGGAAAAAAATATAGAGTATACAATTCTATAGCTCTCGTTTCAAATAATTAAAACAAGTAATTTTCTGTTAACCATTTTGCTGCTGGATTTTTCTCGCTGGTCTTGTTATTTTCGTACAGCGAAGATCAGTTTCTAAGTTAGAGTCACGAACAAGGCCGTCTAAGGCAATAAGTTTAGTTTTTTAGTTCTGTACAATTCTTTGCGCAAAGTATAGCGTTTTTTTGCGACAGCAAACGTTTATCAGTAAAAGGTTACAACAAACCTTAAGCTCAATTTCATAGTCTTTTTCTTCTGTATCAGAAAACATTTTCAAATGCACTTTGCTGTCTTGAACTGACAGGAAATATAGCGTGTGAAACCCTCCATGTGAAGAAGCAGGTGGGAGTGAGAATTTGTATTCTGTTTTCAAAACGGACACCGGTAAAACTGAAAAAGGCATTTATGATAACAGTTATCCTTCAATTTTATAATAAAAAAGCAAAAGCTTTAAAGAGGATTAAACTAGCTTTCTAGTTGCTCGTACACTCTTATTAGACTAGCTGAGTACATTCTACTAGAACTTTAAGATGAAAGATTTTCTTTTCAAAGGAGACTCATAAAACACTGGTCAGTAACACTTCAGAGCTCAAAAAATGTAAAAACGTTAGCACAC